AAAACCAAACCAACCAACAAACAAAAAAAAACACCAGCAAAGACATATTAAACACATAAATTTGGAACCAGTGCCAAACTGCATGAAAATATTTCTAAGCAAATCCTGTACTCAGATTCTCATGGAGGGAGAACTTAGAAATAAAAGAGTAGAGGTATCTTCTGCAAACAGTAAATGGAGAATTTAAAAAGCAAGTAAGTGAGTTGAGTAAGTCTGGCTAATCAGTGCATGTGGCCTTAAATGACAAGAAGACGACTCCCTTCTTTAGAAACATCAGCGTACGAGGTGCGAGGGCTCCTGTAACCAAGTGTCACAAACCAGGTGGCTCAGAGCAACAGAAAATTTTCGTCTGCAGTCTTGGAGGCCAAGGGGTCAACAAGGCCCTCTTTCCATCAAAGGCCACATTCAGAGGTACTGGGGGTTAGGACTTCAGCACAGGAATTTTTGGTGGACACATTGCAACCCATACCAGTTAGAACAGAAGAGTCAGGGTTGAGGGCAGATTCACATTTCCCCTTTTATCACCACTGAGTTTAAAAAGCGAGGTTCAGGAGGATTCAGAGTAAAAACCTACTTCAACTTTCTAAAAGAACAACGTCCTTTACTAGCAACGGCCGCTGGCCTCAGACACCTCTGTGCAGGCTGCAGAGGCGGCTCCCTTCTAAGTGACCACTCCAAGAAGCCTCCGTTTGTTGAAGTTGAGGGGGCCAGTGATAAAATGAGGTGGCCAGCGGGGTGCAGTTGGCACAGCCCCATGACCTGGGCATAATCCGAGTCTGGGGCCATGAAGACGCCTCTGGAGACCTGGTGAGAATCCCCTGCCTGCTGGAAATGGGTAAGTTCACCAAAATCAACCCACCTGACAATGTGCCCAATTTACTGACTTGCCTCTTTTCTTACTCTTTCCTAAAACTTCTTTTCAACCCTTCCACGGTTTATAGCAATTTGTCCTGGAAGGACTGGCAGGGCCCTGGAGGGCTGAGGGCCCTCCCTTCACAGTCTCCCCATCTGCCTGCACCCCCTTCTCTGTTCTTCTCCTCCATCTTTCTGACTCTCAGCCAGCCACCCCCTTCTTTCTCTGGCCCTTGGTCTCTCTCCCTCTCCTCCGGACTGTACTCTCCTGTAGCTCCCTGACATTCAGTCACTCACCTTCCCCTCCTGACCTTCTCAGATTTAGCATCCAGGGGGTGCAGGGTATGACTGTGTAGGTCGTTCACTGCACAAAAGTGCCTTGCTAGCTCTGCTTGCCAAGATCTGTCTGGATGGGTGCCTGTTTCCATTTTGTAAAAAGGGGGTGGGGAGGCTTTAGCAGCAGCCAAGCCTGTGCTCGGCATGAATTCTTCTCCCGCTCCCTTGTGGCACAGTGGCCCCCTCTTGGCACCAGCTCCCCAAAGCGAGAGCAGCAGGGAGCTTAAGAAAATACCAAATGTTCTTAAAATGACATTGTGAAGTCAAAATGCAAAATGGTCGACTGAAATCATCCAAAGATGTTAGAACTTCCCTGTTTAATATGATTTGCTATGAACTTCACAAAGAATTAAAAAAAAAGTTTGGTCTAAACTGGCAAGTTCGGTAAATTTAGTGAGCTGATCCACGGACTTTACCGAACCGGCCCCAGCCTGTCACCTTTTCGGGACTCTCCTACCTCACTAAAAGGACTGTTGAGGAGACAGACACATCCCACCCTGGTTAGTGGCTCCTATTTCACCCCCAGTCTCGGCTTCAGGAAGGAATTCCAAGGGGCTTGCAAGAGGCTGAGCTCCTGTAAGTTTAGCGTAAGCAGTTTCTTTCCCCCAGAGGAAGGAATGCCGATCCAGCTTTCTTATCACAAGCTTATGGCCGTCATCCTCCGTCTGCAATCCCCACAGCTGTCCACCAGAGACGTGCAGCCTTTTAGAGCATACTAATTATCACCGTGCTTCCGGTCCGTCGTACAGCCACGGAGACCGCGGCTCTACCAGAGGGCCTGGTGCTACTGAGGCCGCACCGGTTACAGCCGTGCTCCCCGGGGTCAGCCTTCCCGGCGCGGCTCTGACCCTGCCAGGCAATGCTTTCGCCTCTGGGTGGCTGCCACCCTGCACCACAGGGCAGCACACCATTTGAAGCCGCTGTTCCAAATCGATTTAAACAGAATGCGTTTTCGAACCATGTGCTCCCTCGCCCCAAACGGCAGCTTGTCAGTCCACAGTCACCTTGCTAGCCTGTGCTTGCATTATGTCGGCTCCGTTGTTGCTATTGAGAGGACTCCTTTTTATATGATGGTTCTACCATTGTTGTAGCTAATATTTTGGATCAACTACAGCTCCGCCTTTCCTCAACCTCACTGCTATCAGATGGTCTAAAGAAACCAATCAGCACTTCGCTGGGCATTCCTGAAGGCAGCTCTGAAGGAGTGAAGGCAAGATGCTTATAGGAAAATCCTCCTGCTTTTCTACCCTACACACTTCTTTTAAAAATAGGATAAGCTGAATATAAATCAGGAGATTGTCCCTCCCTAGGGGCAGGGGTCATCAGTACGTTTCTGACCTTATCTCACAGGTAAGTATTAATTGGTCAGGTGTTTATTAACCACTTAGTGTTCACATTCTCTGTCAGGCAGGTTGTTAGGTCCCGAGGATAAAAGGTGATGAAGTCACAGACCCTGCTGTGGGAAGTTCAGAGCCTATGAGGAGTAACAGACATAAGGAAGGAATATGGTAGGTCTATAAAAAGCTACATGCATATTAGAGTGGCAGCTTAACATTTAATTTAGGAAAAAAGATGCTTACATTTTTTTTCTATGTGTCTTTTCATGAAATTCCTCCAGCCAACATGTTGGAACAATAGCTTGAATCATTGTCAGGATAATGTATGTGAGTACCTTCGTAAGCTGCCAACTCCAATTGTACCGGCTTTTTGCGTTGGGGTAGCCACCTTGGCACTGAGACGGCAAGCGCCCCAGTTTGGAGCCGCAGGGTCAGATATCTGTTCCTATTTGCTGGAAACAGTGCAGTACTGGGGAAAGGGCACCCCCCAAAAGAGAATGGGCCTGGAAGCTGGTTCTCTTACTGTGGTCTTGAGTAAGTCACTTATCCTCTCTGAGTCATATCCTTTTTAAAAAATTATTGGTTTGACTCGTTCATCTCCAATGAAGGATTCTGAGTTTCTATTTCATTGGTGAAAAAATATCCTGCTTTACTTCCAGTTACAGATTGTAGGATTAGAATAATCAGATAAAGAAACATTTTACATGGAAAACAAAAGCATTCTTCTAGATCTTGAGTAGTTATCATTTCAAAATCAATGTGTTGCCCTTGTTTCAGAAGTGCCGATTACTGCCTGTGAACTAAGGAAAGGACTATCCTCAAACCCAATCTGGCAAGACTCAGCTGGAGCTCTGGGAAGAAGTCTACACAGAGTGAAGGAGGTAGATGTCAGGCTGCGGGTCACAGAGCCTGACAACCAAGCGTGTCTAGCTTTCTATTCTGGATGAGGTCCGAGTCACACATCTGAATCAACTCTTGATTTCCCATCATTTTAAACAGTCTTGCAAAGCTGAGGTCTGTTCTTGGAATAGAAGCCTTCTCTGTTTCTTCCTAAAATACTCTTTTAAACAGTTTCAAGGTTGTTCAGTATTTTCCTAATATTTTAGGCAACTATGGAAAGATTTCCATGCCATAGAGAGAATTAAAGCAAACAGGGAGCAGGGTTGTCCAGGGTAACCTGTCCTGGTGCAAACAGGCATGCTATCAGAAATTATTCCTTGGGGAGGTGGCACTGGGATATGTTTCTGACACCTCTCTGCCCCCAGTTTCAGCAGGGATGGACTGGCAGGAGGGGCTGGGCTGGGGTGAGGGGGCGGCTGACAAGGTCATGACTTGGGGTCAGAGGTATTAGGTGATGGGCTCTTTGTGTCCTGTTACCCTTGTTACAATCTATTCAGGTGTTCAGTCAGAGGAGCAAATACTAAGTTGCGGGCTTTGAAACAATATCCATTAAAGGTTATAATATGTGTAGGGCTTGTTTTTAAAGGACTTCTACCAGGACTCACCAGGCTGACTGGTCCTTGTGATAATGGTTTAGAGGGACAGTAGTCACTGTATCCTGTCGTCAGCGTAACCCGACCCGAGACTGACTGACTGCCTTGGGTCCCGACATCGGTCAGTAGTGAGGACCGCACACACCAGGCATTTCTGTCACACATTACTTACACTGTTCTATAAAATAGAGAATCTTCTTGGGACTTGATAGGAAAATGCAAGCCATGACAACAAACAGGGGAAGCCAAACAGATTTCAAAAGACCTCTATTTCTTTTTACCATCTTCCCTTCTCTTTTGAACCCAAAGAACACAGTCTACAATATAAGTCTGTTTATAAATGTTATGGGCTTTTTTGTGTGTGCTTTGCATGATATAGCATGTAAGTTTATTTTCCATGTTTTTTGAACATTATCTTCTATGTGTGAATCACCCATGGGAGTTGATAAAGGGAGTCTGTGTGCTGTGCTGAGGCTGTGCATACGGTCACCCACAGGCTCGCTCATGGGTGTGTCCCCAACATGGCACAGGGCTTGGGATCCGCAGGCACTTGGTAAGTATGTGTTGAATGATGAAGAAATAAGTAGGATACATTGTACAAATGTAATTAGCCAAGGAAATTCTATCGGGGACACTGAAATACCACCAGTTAAATTTGGAAAAAGGACAGGGATGGTTATAACGATTGACTCTGGGTGTTTAAAATGGGGCTAGAAAATATTCAGTAAGACAAGAGTATTATTAAAATTAAAGGGAAAGTCTTTCTTCAGCATGTAAGTCCCAGAAATGCCAGGAGTGGACCCTTTACTCCTAGATAAAATGACCTCCTTGAATAACAACCATGCCTATATTGGGGCAAAAATGTTTTGAAGAGGTTGTTAATTAATCTCATGTAACATCACACCAGGATAGCTGTCAAATGGCAATCTCTCCCTTTCCAAAAACAAAGCCAGAGTGGGCGGAGGTGCTGGCCTCTCCTTACCGTCAGCGACAAGGCCATGCAGACAAATGTGAACTTCTTGATGTGGGCGGCCGTGACCGTGCTGCTCGTGCTCACCAGTTTATTGCTGGGGTTGTTCTAGGGACAAAGAGAGGCCTCAGTTAACCTTGGCGGACTGCATCTTCAAGAGCATCTCATCTCTGCTTTTCTTTGACGTGTCTGAAGCACAGAGGTCAAGTGACAGCTTGGGAGACAGCTGCTACTTTGCGTCTCTCTCAGACAGCTGTCAGGTTTCTGGATGTGAACATCAACCAGAGGGAGTTTCAGACTGGACGCCTGGTGGTAGCTCCTGAATCAGCCGCCTCCCCTTGGCGCCCACCTAGCCTAGTCCAGGGCCCTGGCTTGTGTGCCCTCCTGGCCACCACGGGCATCTCTGAAGCCACGGCCCTGCTCACTGACCTTTGGGGCCCTCTCATCTCCACCAAAGGGACTCTCAGCTCAACTGGACATTCAAGGGCCTGCCTAACCCTGCCCCAGGCTTCCTTCTCCACCTGTATTCCAAATGGAACCTTGTGTTCGTCCCTTAACATGTCTTCCATGTCTGTGATTTTCTTCTTCCTTCTCTTGTGGGATCTTTTGATTTTCGAAAACACAGCTCTCTTTAAGGGCCATCGTCTTTACAGCCCATCTGTTCTTAAAAACCTCTCTGATCTTTTACCTCCCAACTGCCTCTGGGCCCCACTTCCTGAACAGCCAGAGGGCCCTGGAGCTCTCTGCAGGCTGGTCGGCCCAGCCCACACTCAGGACATTTGTCAAAGCCCTGGGAGGTGAGCACTTGCTTTCTGAGACCCCCAGACTGGGTGTTCCATCCATCTCCTTAGCTCCTCTAATTAGAACAACCTTGCCTGAGTAAGGAAGGCGCTCAAAAGCCTTTGTTACACTGAACTCTAAGCAAACCACACCGTTGGCTCAGCTGTCCGAGTACACATCCCCAAGGCCCACCACACAAGGGCCGCTAGTCACCCGAATCAAAACAAATGCCTGGCCCCTGACCTTGAAAATCAGCAGAGAAAAATACACCCCATCTCATTATGAATCCAATTAGTCCCAGAGCTGACTAACAAAAACAAATCCCCAGCACCTGGCTCCTCTATGCAGCTGAATGAAAGACACATAAGCAGAGCTATTGTGGGTTGCCCTTGGAAAAGAGCTTTTGATGTTTCCTCTCCTTCCAAGGCTGAAGCAATCTCTTGAATCCCTTTCCTTTGCAGATGTGACCAGCACAAACCTCTGGAGGAGGTTTACATTTTCTTAATTCCAGTCTTTACAATGTATCTGCTTTTCTGAGTAACAGACAGCTGCCATAGCAAAATACAAGTCCTAGTGGGTAGGAGAACTCTCCCTCCCCATGCATCCCCGGGACCTGAGAGAAGGGGTGCCCTCCTGGGCACACTGGAAAGAATTAGGTGACCTCAAAATGTGCACATTACCCATGGTGACAGCAATGTGTCCTTCAGGTGTACTTTTATTTTTAAAACAGCAAACATTTCTGTAAATGGTGACAATAAACTAGCACGTATCATTCGATCAGCATCTGTGGTTCATTTTGTTGGCCCCGTCTGCTTAGAAATGTCCTCTTTAGCAGATGATAACTGAACACTGGAGAGATTTTGTACTCGTGGAAACCTCTCCCAGTTTAATATTTAGCTAGAGGCATCAGAAGTTATGCGAGAAATGTAAAATCTCTTATTCTGGAAACACAAAGAGGCTAAGGATTTCAACTGTCAATACAGCAAATTCTGGAAGTCCACACAGAGGTGTCTGAGATGTGCGTGAATAGGCAGCATTCACACAAATGGCTTGGTGGAGCTCGCTGGAATGCTTGTAAACAATGGGTGAGGTTTCAAAAGGATTCTGAGTAACTCCAGTTTTTGGCTAGAAGTCTGCTCATTAAAGGAATTTTCTCATAGCGCCTAACCTCTGTGATCATAAATAGAACAATGTTTTCCTTGGATGCTCCTAGCAAGATCACTGTGAAGTCTGACGATTTCAAGGTAGCCAAAAACAATTTCAGATGAGACTTTCAAGTGTTTCCTAACACTTAGTACCTGCTATTCTCATCGTCTTATTATATAATCTTATTCTCCAGGAGCTAGAAAATTTAGCAAAATGACCTATATTCACTTTGGTTTTCTAGGATTTACTTCTATAAGCATGTTCCTTGAAAACAATGATGTCTATCAATAGTTTGGATTAAACCCATGCAACCATGCAAACAGGGATGTCAGCAGTCTCCTGCATGGGACTAAGACCTGCTGAAGTCACTCAAATGCATGTGAAGCACAGATCAAATGCAATTTTTAGGAGACATTCTGTATCCTGATGTTGCAGCGAATGTTTGAAATAGGTGGTGGGCGCAACTAATAGCCTCCTGGGGAGGTTCCACACCTGGAACCCAGAATTCTGGGCAACACTACTACTCTGTGCCTGGTTCGGCTGCATGGTGGGAATCCCTGAAGTGTTACAACCCAAGTTGCTATTCATAGTTTAGACTCGGCGTGGAAATAGGGAAAGGTGATGGTGACAGGAAGAGCAGGGGCTTGTGTAGTGTGGAAGGATGCCATGGACGGGGCTGTGGGAGCAGACAGGGGCACGCATGTGTGTGTGTGTGTGTGTGTGTGTGTGTGCACGAACATGCACCAAAAGGGAAATTCTTCCTGTGGGCCACAGGCGCCAAGGAGGTGGCCCCACAGTGACTGAATACTTTCCAGACTTGATCCTCCCCTATCCTGCCTTATCGCTGTCAGAGATGCTTGGGGGGTGCCCTTGGGTCAGGGTGTGAGATGGAGAGGAAACTTCTCCCCACCTCCTACTCCCCAGGTCTTGCCACCTCCCAGGAGCCCAGCAGAAGCTGGTGGCTACACAAAGGAAGAGGTAAGCTTGTAGCCCGTGGCCTTGCCTTGCCTCGTGTGGCTTCCCAGGGTTTCCTATGCCCACAGAGGTCCTGCGAGCCATGTGCGTGGGGCAAAAGGAAGGAGGAAACCCAGCCACAACCAGCCAGAACCCAAACAGCCTGTGCCTACAGTTACCTTGCTGGGGACCCCGGACAGAGACGCTTCTCTCCTCACTGCCCAGGGCTCTCGCGGGGTGAGATAAAATGGTGCTGCCAGTGCTCTGAGCTAGCTCTCTCGAAACTGGGGGCAGAATGTCACTATTAAGAGCATAAAGGCTGCTCGTGTGCTTTGTTCCTATTTTTCACTGTAAAGCACTGCACACTGTCTTTTGGGGGGTATGTTTTCTAGTCTTTGGTTTTAGGATAAAAGTCTACAGGTTCAAATAATTAAGCTTTAATGAAGCAGACATATGTTGAATGATTGGCAGGGCAGTCCTGACCAAGCCACAGAATCCAAGACCAAGGTTGCGTCACAGCGGCGGGGGGACGGAGCTACTGTCTGCAGGAGTCTTCAGCTGGAGTGAGCCTGCCGGGGCCAAACCACCCTGGGCCTGCGCCTGCCACGGTGTGGCTGTGGCGTGCATGGCCCTGAAGAGACGCATGAGCTTGTGAGCTCAAGCACACAACTTCCTGTCTAAACCTTCCCCTCGGCTAGGAGGTCAGCAAAGGATTAATTTAATAAAAAAACAAAAAACAGAAACAAAACCCAATATATTAAATTTTTTTGAGAGTATTTCCCTTGTGTAAACGAATTCTTTCTCAGTAGGAATAACCTAACAGTGAGTATGAGTTTGGTGAGGCATTATGTCATCAGCATCCCTGCAAGCTTAAATTTGCCTCTGTTACTTTCTAAGGGAAATTCTCCACATTTACCTCGACATTCTCAACACCACATTCACCTTACAGGAGGGGATGAGATGGAGAAATAGCGGAGTGTCCCTCATCAGAGATCCCTGTCTATCAAATGCTAACTTCAAGGAGTGTATTTCCGACACCATGCCACACAGGTTCTCACCTTGTCAAAAGCAGGGTAGACAGCACGGATTTCCGTCAACCAGCCATATGGCATGTGACCCACAGGGTACGTGGCTGTCAAAATTGCCACTGCCTGCAAGAGGAAGAGCCAGCAAAGTTAGCATCGGCACCTGCAGAGGGCATCACCAGTAGCTGCTGTCTGCCACGTGGCAGAGCAGCCAGCCACCGCAGACGCATCGCTCCACAGTGGGTGATAAGCACTGGCCAGCCACGGGAGGCCCAGGGAGTGACGGTGCGGTGGGCACTCCACGGTGTCCCTGGGAGGGGCATGAGGGGGCCCAAGGAGTGCAGTGAGACCAGGACAGGTCTTGTTTTACATGAATCCAATGGCACACACATCCAGATGGCTGCCTTGAGAAACCAAGATTGCAGCCCAAGTCCACCAGACTCCAGAATCCGCCCACTCCATTGAGCCAAATGGAACATTCCAGTCTAGCCCAGTTCTTACGTCTGAGAAGGCAATTTTGAGCCTTCTCCACTCTCCAAAGAATCTTTGCTCTGGATCCACCCCTATGTCTCCATCCAGACCTTCAGGACAGCTGACGGTGTGGGTTTGCTGATGGCTTTCTGAAACTCTCCTGTGACTCAACTCATTTCCAATCTATTTGGCCAGGAGAGCTCAATTTTATTTTTTAATTTAAGAAAACTAAATAAATTCTTCTTACAGGAAGCCAAACATGTTCTTCCATGAAAATGAGAGTTTCTTTTCTTATGCGAATGAAAAGGAAGGAACATGGAAACAGAGCATCAAACCCTACACTCTGGCAGAGATCAACCCTCTAACTAGCTAGTGAAGGGGGAGTACAGGCTTCCTCTATTTGGATTAACAGCAGTGCCAGGAGCCCGAGGTGAGTTGCCAGCTGGGTGAAGAAACTGCAGGGAGCAGCGATACAAAGGACCAAACAGAGCCCTGGAACTGGGCGGACCCAGACACAAATGCCCACTCCATCACCCACCAGCTGGGAGGAGCAGGAACCGACTCAGGCCTCCCTTTCCGTTCCCCCAGCAGCACCGTGACAATGACAACCCGCACCACCCACGGCTGTTGGGATCGATAAAATGTGCATAATGCGGACATATAAGCTGATGACCAATAAATGTCAGCCCTGTACCCTACATGCTGTGTGTCTATGCACTGGGGCCAATTTAGAAGCGGCTCTAACATACCATTTGACTTGTGTTTTTTTTTAAGGAGAAGATGGAATTCTAGCATCCAGGTGATGGGGATCACACACAGTGTCTGTACAGGGAAGCTTAAACTGATGTAGTTAAGTAAAAAATCTGCTGTGTGTAACGGGAGCCACCCAAGATGACATCCATGATTCAAAACATAAAATCTAGGGACAAATTGAGGCAAGAGAAAGTGTTCCACTTGTGATTTATGTGCTTCTCTGTCAAGCCAACATGAGCTGCTTGCCAGGCATGGAAAACTGGCAGGAGACCCCAGGCAGAGACATGCTGACAGCGCATTCAGGGGCACTGTGTAAACAGCAGGCCCTACTGAGCAGCCACCAACCTTCCTGAGGGATCAGCAGTTCCAGAGACAGAATTAATTCTCCAGAAGGCGGAGGAGGATGAAACAAATGAAGCGATTCTGTTTGTTTGTACCACACCTGAAAGATGGAAAAAATGACTGCACTCTTTCTATGGAGCAGCTGCCAGTTTCCAGGTAAATTTCTTGAGCTGTGAGTGAGTAAATAACGGTGATCCTCATTTGGGGAAGGGCAGGCTGCCAAGGAGCACAGGAGGCCAGGATGACGGGGTGGGGTGTGCAGGAGGGAGGAGAAAAGGCAGGTGCAACTAGGCTTGGTCACAATGGAGGCATCAGCCCTCCACTGTCTCGGGATCTCCACTGCTTCTGCTGTGGATGGCATAGTCCACCGTCCTCTGCAGCTACAGTGAAGTGGCATCATGCTGACTCCATGAGAAATGGAAAGGCCATGGGGCAGGAGTCCAAAAGTCTGCATTCTAATACTAGCCCAGCTACTTGCTAGTTTTGTGTCGTTAACCTTGTCCCTGCCTCGGTTTCCTCATAATGGCCAATGAGATGGATGAAGGAGACATTTCCATACTTGTAAAAACACAGAATTACATGATTATAAGATCCTCATAGCTTCCCCATTGTGTGTCACATAATTTCATGCCACATGTGTGGGTTCTCAAGATGACCGGGTAGCAGGTTTGCCATTCACTGTCCCCACCCCATGCTTCACAAGGTGACTATGCATGTCCACAGGCCCAGGAGCTGGCCTACCTCTGTAGCTGCAGAACTGCCGCCAAGGTCCCGGGAAACAAAGAGGTTGACAATAGGCCTGCTGATTCTCTGTGTGGCCAAGATGAGAGCCAAAGGCCACCAGAAGCTCAACATCTTTCTTATTGTTGCATCTCCCTGCATCAAGAAATGGAGATAAAAAAGTTGACGAAACTCTAGAAGCAGAATGGAAAAAAAAAAAATTCAGAGCCAAAAACTTTCCTTTTGATGTCATTTCACCATCCTAAAAAATAATACAAGGAAGAGCCTCTGTAGACAAGCCCAGCTGAATTAAAATAAAAAGTAGTTTTATTAGAAGACAGTTGGAAAGTGAAATCAAAACACACTTAAGCTTGATGAATGCAAACCACTCTTTTCCAAACAGGGCGACTGTGACCCAAGCAGCACCCAGCTCCACGGCCTGAGAAACAGGTTGGAAATTAGTTTTTGTTTAAATCATCATACTGACTGGCCAGAAGCCATGTCACTAAGAAGTAACTCTCAATGTAAAATCGTTACAATTTGGTTTGGAATCAATTAGTTCACAAAGGTGCCTAATTATTTGGGCAGTGTCTAAATCCACTACAGAGGCTGTCCTTCTCAAAGCTCTGACAGAGCCATGAGAATGTCCAGAGGCAGATACAAAATAAAAGAATGGTGAAGAAAAGGCAATTCATTAAGAATTCTACAGCAAAGATGTGTGCTACCTTTAAATCCTAGATCTCCTTATTTAACTTTGGTCTTGATTCTTCATGAGGGTAAGAGTTACATCATGGAGCCATCTCAACCACTTTAATTCATTTCCCTTTGCTGATGGCTGCATGTTAAGAGATGGCTTGTCACCATCAAGACCAAGCTGATGTAGCTGTCCTACTATGGAAAGAACTAGATTGGGTTTTATTGAGGGCATGATTTCAGATCAAGGCAAGAAGTCAATACAATTATTGTTCTGATATGATGAAGGTGACATGGGGTCAAAGGCGGGATCAGGGGGCGGAGTGTGATGATTTATTCAGGGCTGTATATAATCATGCATATCTGCCTTATAGCTAGATGGAAACAAACCCAAATGATGTCTAATACCTATGGGTGGAAAAGATTAATATACATATCAACCAGATACTGAGCATACTTATAATGAAAAGAATGCTTTGGGCCCTCGTGTAAGATTACACCTTGCTTGTATCTTATTCAACTTCTGTGCACAGGTCAATCTCTGCCTCCATCAAGGAGGCTTCTTAGACCACACTGCTGTCTGCCTTCCTCCCACTTTGGTGGCGCTCGTTTGATCTGTGCAGGCTGTGTGCTGTCTTGAATTCAGTCTGACTGTTGCTTCTGTGTTGGTCTCATGTGTCAAGTGGAACGTAAAGTTTGAGGGTAGAGACCATATTTTAAATTTCCTGTGTCACCTTATGGTCAGGAAATGCTCTGTTCACTCCACAGAAGGCACGTGGGTGAGTAGTTGTTACTGGATGGTACAGAAAGTATGAATGAAGCCTGTAACTCTGCTGTGAAATTAGAAATAATCAAATGTGAGGTCAAAGGTGCCATGGGTCCTGAAATCTTTGTTGTCTTACAGAATGAGTTTTTGACAACAGAGTAAGAAGAACTCATTCATGTATCTGCTCCTTGGCCTGACACGGCTCCTGGAGCCCCAGTCTCCTCTGGGGCCAGGGAGGTGGACAGTGACCTCTGAGATCTCTCCCCTCTCCAGAGCTCATTAATTCTCCATCCATCTCTCCCTGTGGACACTCCTTCCTACTTGACATCTCAGTGCACATGCTCATGAGTTCTCATTTCATATGGGGTGGGGAGAACTGTATTCCACCAAACGCACAGACAGGCCGCTGGCTCCTAGGACGTACCCCCAACTCTGGTCCACTCCTGTCGGGGATGATGTCGTGGATGTTCCTGTAGTAGCCCAGGCACAGGGTGGTGCAGCGCACCAGGGCGCCCATGTACAGGGAGAGGATCGGGATGAGCAGAGGCTCTCTGCATTCCAGGTGACTGTGAAGTAAAATGGCTACAAAAACGACCTGGGAGATGGGAAAACAAGAACATGGCAGAGGGGATTAGATGGAATCAAGTCAACACAAGTGTGTCCGACCTCTGGCACTGGAGGAGACAGATCTCTGAGTGCCTTCCTTAATGTTGGCCAGGAAGAGAGGAGAAACCCGGGCTAGAGTTCAGGGCTGCTCTCGTAGGATTCAGGGTCAGGTATCTGGGGTTCACCAGAAGAGCACACAATCATTTAGCTCTGTGCACCACCAAGATTCTTTTAGGGGAGCTGCACACCAGGTTAAGGTTACTGCTAGAAAATATCTAGGCACATTGCTCCCTTCGGCCTCCCAGAAGATGCCACAGAGCTTTTCCCTCCCGAGGCTGGATACTTGCATAATCCACACCTGGGACCTAAGCCCACAAGGGAAAAACAGTGGTGATCAATGGTGCATACAGAAAAACAGACCTTAACACGTACAGGATGAATTTCACTGGAAGTGCTGCAAAAATCATGGCTGTTAATTACTGTAAGATAAGCTAAATCAAAATCGAAAATACTAACTTCTTTGCATAGATGGAAAAAAAAGAGCAAAGAAGGACTGGAATAGTAATGAAGTGCTCATCTTTACCGACTGTTTAGTCTCTGAAGCAAATTGCATAAGGTATTTAACCTCCCACTCTGCTGACAGCAGAGCAGCAGCTCAGCCTCTGTCCAGAGTCCTCAGGGATTTGCACATTCAGAGGACTGCGGAGGCAGGCGAGGGCAAGAATAAAGTAACTGTGAGGGGGACCATTCCTGAGCTACACCGGCCTTGGTAGCCAGACACCTGAGAAACTGTAGGCCTGTCAACTGTGTCATCGCCTAAGGATCCTGATCATGGCATCGTCAAGGTATCAGTGATGACAGAAGGTTTAAAGCAGCTGCAGGCTGAGTGTGATTCCTTGGAGGACGCATTCAATTGCTGCAGGGAACACAGAAGAGCTGGGTGCTCCCCAGAAACACTTCTAAATGCAGTAAAAGTATCAGACGCTCAAGGCAGTTTGCTTACAGCATGGACTGACACACATGCCCACTGTCATTCTCAAAGCCAGTCAGTGAGACAGGCTTGGTCACTGGGCCTCGGGAATACACAGGACAGAGGTACTGGTGGGCACGACTGCTGCCTGCGGCACAGGCATGAGCTCACACACACCTAGGACACAGCAGAGCCCAGGGACGGAGGTAATGATGCATGTGATGGTCTCCACACCTATGGCTTCCAAGTGGAATGACTAATGTGTTAACAAGGACGTGAACACCAGCTGGGGAAGGCTGGCTGAGGACGCACTGCGTTTGGAGAAGGCTGGAGGTTCTGTGATGGGGCCAAGAGGCCCATGCGTTTCTCTGATGAATCAGATGCCTCTAAGGAGCCCCGCCACGCAAACTCAGACGAGTATGTCTGCAGCCAGGGGAACATCTGCCACGTACCAAACCTAGAGTGTAAACCAAGATGCTCGTGTGCAGACACTGAAAACTCATTGTACGAAGAATGATTACGTAAGGGAGCAACCCCTCCCCTGCCAAGTCCAGGAAGGCTCCCAGGCTGTATGGATGGCCTTACAAGACAAGGTCTGAAAGCAGGACCAGAAAGGATCTGGACATGAAGGAAAGGGAGATGTGATCAGGGGGGAAGTCAGTGTGGATGGTGAGGAAGCAGCCTGAGGGGCAGCGGGCCCCAAGGACAGAGGGAGGCGAGGTGCACTGGCCAGATCTTGCTCAGCCAGAGGGCAGATTTTGCCAGCCTCCCTCCTATTTTTAGTAGTTTGATGCCATGGGGCCCAACACCTGTCATAAAGCTTACATCTTCACTGTAGATGGTATTGTTTATCAGTTTAAGGTAACACTGGGGCCTCCGGCATTTCCACCCAGAGTTAGGATTTGGAATCTGATAAAGACATCAAAAATTCGGCTTATTTTCTGAGGGGAACCTCCTGTCTCAGTGGGGAGGATTCTCCCAGTGAGAACCTGTTAGGTGCTGGCCCGAAGCTGGTGCTGGGGATTCGTGACAGATAAGGTAGTCTCAGACTCCACTCCCCAGGAGCTGATGTCAGTGCAGGAGGCCGGGACACACCATGCTGCCAGCCCCTGACTGCTGGCGATGTCCATGAAGGACAGAGCCAGGCCATGGCGGGAGGGAGGTGCCCCACGCCAGGGGGCTGTCTGAGCTGAGACCTCCAGCCTCAGGAGGAGGTAGCTGGTGGGCAGGGGTTGGTGGTGGGGGGAAGAACTGAGGGCACTATTTCCTTATGGGCAGAAGGGTCCTGGCAAAGACCCCCAGGGAGGCCACCCAAGGTCCTGTGGCTGGAGAGCAGAGCACGGGGGTGGGGAGGTGGGGAGTGGGGAGTGCCAGGCTGGAGAGGGCGCAAGGTCCACGGGGCTTCAGGGCCTTGTCGGCCACACCAGGATTTGGGTTTTTATTGCATGAACACTTGCAAGCAATTTTAAAAGTAGGTTTTAAGCAGAGGGTGTGATGGCCAGAACTTCAGTAAGGACAGGTCACTGTGGCTGCAGTGGGGAAGGACGGAGGCGAGCCAGAGAACATGTGGAGTGGCCTGGCAGGTAGTCCGGCTGGGAGCGGTGAGCCCTGGATGGGGCAAGGGCAGCAGCGATGGGACACGAGGACAGATAAACGGAACCTCTAGGATTGAAATGGAAAAGGCTCAGTGATGAAGAGGGGTGCGCCAAGGGGGGTGCCCACGAGGTAGTGCCATTGATATAGAAGGTGTGAGCTTAGGGGCCCTCTGAGGGAGCTGGGTGCAGGTGTCACAGAGACACTTAGATACCTTGTCTCAAGTCCGGAGGAGAGGGCTGGGCTGCAGATGTCTATTTGGGGACCATCAGTCATGTTACAGACAGTATAAACCCAGGGTATGGGCTTGGTTTTTCATGAAAAGAATTCAGGGTGAGTAGAGAGGAGGGTCTTGAGGAACATCAATGTTTCCATGACAATCACGTGAGCTTCAGAAGTAGAACCACCGGACTGTGGTGGTGAGAGCCGGGAAGGTGCAACGGCCTCAGAGAAATCTTGTTTTGATATTAAGCAAGCTAAAAAGGGCCAGGTGGTCATGTAAAAAACAGAAACAGCAGTATTTTTCATAAAACCCTTGGCAATGTGATCGCCCCAGGGAGGAGGGAGCCATCAGTGGAGTGAGGAGTGGCTGAGACATCCAGGAAGGTAACTGGCGTGTCACTGGGGTGACGGCACAAAGTCATTAGTGAGAACTGTCTGGGTGGACTGCGGGGTGGAAGTCAGCCTGGAGTAGATAGAAGGATGAGAGGGAGTAAACGTGGGTAGAAACCACCCTTCTGCAAGGTTTGGCTATTAGGTACTATATATATAGAGAGAACTGTAGCTACAGAGGTACATGGGAGCCAGAAAAAGCTTCCTGTTGTCTTAAGAAGCAGGTATTTGATCATGTTCACATGTCAAGAGCAGTGATCCAGGGGACAGAGGATAGAGCACGGATAACTGAGTAAGGTTCCTGAGAAAGGAGGACGGGACAGGATGCAGGGCCCAGGTGGCAGATGCAGTCCTGGACAGAGGAGGGATCCCTCCTCTCCCTTAAGCGGGGAAAGCAGACAGGAGGCAAGGCTCTGAAGTAGGCTTGTAATTTGGTGGCCAGACGTTGAGGAATTCAGTTGCTTCAGTTTGCTCAGCAAAGGGTGACATGAGGTCATCTGTTGGGAAGACGGAGGTGGGTAGAGGCCCTCTGACCTCGCTCCTGGGGGCAGCTGAGCGAGGCGCTGACACTGAAGTTGCAGTTTGGTTAGTTTGCCCTGTGGTGTAACTTTCTGCAGGGGCTGGAAGGTGCACATCTAAAGTGGGTGGGGACGGAGATCTCGCCAGTGGCTGACATGAAAAGGCAGGAGGCAATGGCATTTATAGCAGTGCAGCCTGATTCCTGAGCTGGGGTCCTGGGGTCCCATCTGAGGGCTCTCAGCCGATCTCAGAAGGCAAGGGACAGGACTGGAGGTCCTCGGAAGGTCCAACAGCCTCAGAGAAATCTTGTTTTGATATTGAGCAAGCGAAGAAGTGCCAGGTGGTCATGAAATAAAACAGAAACAGCAGTATTTTTCATAGAACCCTTGGCAATGCGATCGGAACATAAAACTGTTATAATCATCATGGCACAAAAAAACATCTCACGTTTGGGGCAAACCACGAGCTTTTTTGTGTTACTGTATGAAGTCAATTATCTTAAGTCAAGTTTTTTAAAAATGGGAGTTGCCACTGAAATTCAGGGCGTTATCAACTATCTTCATTCTGTCATTGATTACTCATTATCTATCTATGCCAAGGTGGTATTTCAAATGACTGCCTAGGATGGGTTTACTTGCTACCACATTAATTAATTCCAAGTGATGAGAGGAATTTACTGGGAGTACGGGGTGGAGGTAAAGGACTTAGGAGCACAAGTCAAATTTAGCCCCTCAACCAACCACATTGCAGTAGGCACTCAAACTGCAAGGTTTAAAATAACTACTTCACCAGGAATAGCCCAGGGACAGATGGCATCTGAATCCGGCTTCCATCTCCTACCTAACCAGATGTGTTTATTTGCAATTTGCAAGCCCTCTCTGCAGGCAAGGACCAGGTTTAAAACTGAGAAGGAAAAGGGCTGTAGGCGTGAACTGGCAAAGCCTTTTTCAGGGATATGTTTTCTTCTACTCCTGGATGCTTACTATATTTATCTTATGCAAAGTTAAGTTTTTTAGGTTTTTTTACCCTTCAGAAAACACACATTTACAAATGCTCACCGAGTTGCCGATGCCAGTATTGAAAATGAGAGGTGTTTCTTTAATTTCAAATTTAGTGATTAGAGAGAATAAGGGAATTTAGTCTACCTCTCGGACGATGAATTTAAAATAAGACCAGGACAAAATTCTCTAATAACTCCCAAAGAAAATTAACAAAAGATAAACAGCAAGGAAGCACGTTAGCTAGTGTTCACGTATGCACACGCTTGACACATGCACAAACACAGTGTTAGCAGGAATTAATGTAAATTACTTCTCATAGTGATCAGTGGGATAAATGCAATTAATTTGGAAATTTAATTCTTGGTCTTTAGGGAGGTCCTAACAGTTTAAGGGTAGATTATTTCAAAAAGGTGGCTGAAAGAATAGCATGTACACTAGGGAAAAATGAGGAAGAAAGGCACATGTTTATAGAATGGAATTGAGAAACAGGAAGGGAGCTTAGAAATCAGTCTAACTTCTTCCTCCAAGAAGAAATCATTCTCCCCAATTCCTGACTGTAGCAACTAAGACTAAGATATAGATTATAGCAGTTAACTCTGACTTCCTGCTGAATTTCTCATGTGGTACCCTTCATGGAAGAAGAAAGGAAGGAGAATGGAAATCCAGGGCTGGTGCCAGGCCCCAGGGAACTGGACTCAACAGAAAGGGCAATGTGGGCCTGCCTGGCTCTTTTCAAATGTGGGGAAATGAGGTGTGAATGGCAGCCCTATGCAGGAACAAGGGAAACAACATTTAAGAATAATTCCTAAGAGTATTCCCTAGAACTGAGTAATTGGCAATGCACTGTTGGGCCACACAGAGGGCCACGTGCACACCTGGCTGAGGGCACAGGGACCCCATGGCCACTCAAACATGGGTTAGCTGTGAATTACAGCCATTTTACAGGCAAGCTCTTTAAAAATAAAGGCCCAAACCTTTGATACTGAATTTAAATTCCTACAACCCTCATTGTAATAAGATTATATATATGTGTATTCCAGGTTTCATTTTCTCATTCATTTAACAAACCTTGATCGAGGTCCACATTTGACTTGAGTAGAACAGGAGCTCACCGCAGAGTGAATGAATGTACACGAGACATCAGGTGGTTCTGGCACTCACCACAAAAGGGCTCTGGGTAAGCTTAGCTGACACACAGACCATATTTACCTGAGCTATGACATCTGAGATTGAGGCACATCCCACCAGGAAACTGTATTTGTGTTTTAAGAGAATGCCAGCATGGGTCCATGCCTGCCAGAAAGAAAAGAATTTGGCATGAGGTAAACCATCAGGACTGTATTATTTCTGGGTGCTATGATTTACTGGGCATTCCTGAAACAGACTTTATACCCCCAAACCTCAGTAGCACAGGTTTGATAAATCTTTGGCTGGTAAAATGACTATAATTTGGTCTGGTGGCTAGATCCACATTCAATTTTTACGGGGCATCAGTGACTGCACAGTATTTACTGAGAACCATTTATATGAAGACTGGCACACTGGATAGGCTCACGTGCCTGGCAGGGAAGCCGGGTGAATACCGAGAACGGAGAGAACACAGTCCCTCTCTCTCTGAGCAGTGGGAGCCACAGAGCAGCAGCTCTCTCCTTATATGAACCACATAGGCATGAGGAGTCTATTTGGTTCTGAGTTATTTCAGTCATTACAGGTTCTCACTGACTGATTAGGGCTCCACTGCTCCTTGCGGCTCAGGGTCGGGCAGGGTCTGGTTTGCCACTTGGTGCCTTGGAGGGAAACTAGCAGGAAAGTCCTATAAGGAAGGGAGCATGACTGAAAAATTCAAGGGATGTCAGGTTTGGAGAAAGTTTTAAGTTCAAGATAGGATCTGTTTAAGGATCATGCTTCTAACCTGCACATAATCTGGAATGACACAGAAATAACATTTCATGTGAACTAAACACAAGACAAATATGGTCTATTCCCTAGGTCTTTGTCGAGACTTCCTATTGCAGCTGCTCCACCCACTCCCTTCCTCAGTGCCTAAGTCCCAACGTGCCAAATATGAAAAGAAAGGCAAACTGTAGATAACATTTGCAAATAGTGGCTGGTGGGCTATCTTTGTTGACCATAAGCCATCTGGATGATAAGCTTTGTGGTATTCAAATATTATCTCTCCTATCAATATTATGAGGGCCATGCTGCCGTGTGTGCGTGTGTGTGTGTGTGTGTGTGTGTGTGTGTGTGTGTGTGTCCCCGGGGATCTGGCTTTACAGACTCTGACCCCTTTGCCTCTGTGTGTGTGTGTGTGTGTGTGTGTGTGGTGTATGTGGTGGGGGAAGTATGTTTAACTAGTAAATACACCTAATGATAAGAAAGAGAAAATCCAGGTACAGGTGTTCTGATGGTCAAATTCTCCAACCTAAAGTGACATCACCACAATTGAGAATCAGAACCTTTGCATCATAGCTTAGAGTTAATATTTAAGGCTACAACACCAACTGTAGGAAGCTATCAGAGACTCAGTAAGATGGCACCAGGAACCTAACCACAGGCCAGCGAAGGCTTCTGGTAACATTTGAGAAGATGGACCGCCTGTATTTTAGGATTAGGATTTAGGGCCGCTGCCTGACTCCTTACAGGTGGACGCTTGCCTCACACAGCTGATGTATATAAAACCTGAGGTAAGGGGTGCTAAAAAACTATACAGATTAACATATTTTTAAGTCTCCTTCCAAGGCTAATTTAAAATGGGGCCCAAAGAAAGAGTTTATTTTCTAGCATGGGACATTATTGGAAATTTTTTTTTTTGGTAAGTCTCTTTTATATCTATAACATAGACGAACAGGGAAAAAACATTCTCTTCAGTATCGTGATAAAGGATTTAATCTATGGAAGTGAGCTGCCCTCAGCTGATGTGGTAAAGCTGGTTATTAAAGCACTGAAATCCTATCAATATATTCAAGAGATTCTTATCTTTAAAAGCTATGGGTGCGTTTGCCATACAAGTGGTAAGTTTATCAGAAGGTTATCCTGATACTTTGATCTTGAAAGAATCAGAAAAGAACTTGGTATCTGAATTAAATCTTCAAATGGGTTTCCTTGCCTCCTGCCAGCACCTGTGGCAAATACAAACAATTCTCATAAAATAAACTGTCGAGATGGACAGGTTAAAAGCCAATGGTCAACTGGAACCCTTCTGCACTGCTGGTGGAGATGCGAAATGGAACCGCTGCCAGGGAAATCAGTGTGAGGATTCCTCACAAAGTTAAAAATAGAAATATCATATGATCTAGCAACTGCACTTGCAGGTATATACCTGAGAGAGTTAAAGCTGGGATTCAGAGATATTTGTATACTCGTGTTCACAGCAGCATTATTCATAATAGCCAAAAGGTGGAAGGAAACCCGGTGTCCACTGACGGATGGATAGGCAAAATGTGGCCTCTACATGCAATGGAATATTACTCAACCTTAAAAAGGAAGGGCATTCTGACACATGCTGCAAGTATGGATGAACCCTGAGGACATTTTACTAAGCGAAATAAACTAGACACAAAAGGAAAAATGCTGTGTGACTCCACTCCTATGAGGTCCCTAGAGAAGTCAAATTCATAAGAGACAGCAGAATGGTGTTGTCAGGGGCTGGGGGGGTGGGAGAAAATGCAAGTTATGTTTAATGGGGACAGTAGTTTCATGAGATGAGAACAGTTCTGAGGATTCACACTGTGTTAATTTACTGCATGCCACTGAGTTGTACACATGAAAATGGTTGAAATGGCAAATCTTTCATTATATTTCACCATCATTAAAGAAAAAAATGCCAACAATCTTCTCTACTTACCATTGCATCCATAAAAGGGAAGGCAGCAAGATACAGGAAGGCCCTTCTCGTTTTGTTCCCCACGGACTCATCCACATGGTGCAGTTTATTGATGATGTAGTAGCCTAAGTCACTGTACGCTGCAAAGGGTCAAAAAGCACACACGGCAATATTTAGAAAAAGTTACCTTTATAAGGCTTTTCTCTCTAAAGTTTAAAAGCAATTTTTTTTTTGAGAGGGCATCTCAAATTTATTGATCAAATAGTTGTTAACAACAATAAAATTCTGTATAGGGGACTCAATGCACAATCATTAATCAACCTCAAGCCTAATTCTCAACAGTCTCCAATCTTCTGAAGCATAATGAACAATTCTTACATGGTGAACAAGTTCTTACATAGTAAGTTCTTAAATGGTGAACAGTGCAAGGGCAGTCATATCACAGAAACTTTTGGTTTTAATCATGCATCATGAACTATAGAACAATCAGGTCAAATATGATTATTCGTTTGATTTTTATACTTGATTTATATGTGAATCCCACATTTCTCCCTTGTTATTATTATTATTATTTTTTTAATAAAATGCTGAAGTGGTAGGTAGATGCAAGATAAAGGTAGAAAACATAGTTTAGTGTTGTAAGAGAGCAAATGTAGATGATCAGGTGTGTGCCTGTAGACTAAGTGTTAATCCAAGCTAGACAAGGGCAACAAAACATCCACGGATGCAGAAGATTTCTCTCAAAACAGGGGGGGTGAGGTTCTAAGCCTCACCTCTGTTGATCCCCAATTTCTCACCTGATGGCCCCCCTGCGACTGTGCCTGTCTTAGGTTGTTCCTCCCTTGAGGAATCTTACCCGTCTCTGGCTAACCAGTTATCTTCCGGGGCCATACAGGGAAATGTAAAGTTGTTAGTGAGAGAGAAGAAGTATTCTTTGAAAAGGTTAGCTTTTTACTTCTTAAAAGCAATTTTAAGTGTAATATTTGTTTTTTTGGAGACAAAAAATTAGAAAATTTAGATGAGCGAATGAAAGAAAATCATCTATAATCCCACACCTCTACCCAGAGAGGGTCATGGTTAACAACACTCTGGGTTCTGATTGCCCAGTGCTTGTATGGGTGTGTGGGGGGAGTATGTGGGGGGGGTATGCATGTGTTTTAATATAAAAATTTACATCAGAAATAGGATCTTACTGTTTGTGTGTGTGTGTGTGTGTGTATATACTCTGTAAACCATGAACATCTTTCATGATATCCTTCTACATTTTAGTGGTTGCACTGAAGTCCTTTTGTAGGTTTACTCGTGAGCTAAAGTTTCCTCAATCTTCTATAATTGTACATTTAGGTTTACATTATTTTGATATTATTAAAAATAAAGAATGCTTGATGGATACACTGGAAGCTAAATGTTTATATGTGTTCTTAATTATTCACTAATGGAAAATTTCTAAATGTTAATATGCCTTTTCAGTAAAAAATTTTAAAGCCAACTTTCACCACGTGTCATGCCTTTTGTTTCATTTTTTTGGAGGAAGGTGGCAACCATTCCCCCCAGTGGAAGAGTGAGTGGCTTCCCAAGTCCCTCCGCCATCAGGATCTGTGACTGGTGTGGGACTGGAACATAATGGGCACTTAACCAGTGCAGGCAGAATGAATGCACAGGTGCCCAACAGTTATAAAGGAAGGAAGAGGGAGGTCTTCTTAATGTATCACCTCGGCATTCTGGCAGATATTATTAGTAAAGGTTAAATAAAATATTAAGCGTTTTTCTATCTCATTAAAGCATGTTTAGGCTATATAGGAAAACAATAACCTGTTTTTCATAGTGCTTTAACAGTAGCGTTCCTGCTGCTTTCATTCTTTCATAAATATGAATACTTGACAGCCACAGACGCTCCACAATCAGAAAGGAGGTAGAACGGAGGAGGAGTCTCACTTTACATGAAATAATAAAAATCCCTCCCCCCATTTCAAAGTTTGAGGGATTACTTAGTATTATATTAACGGGCAAAAAGAAATACGCTGCTATTCTTTTTAGGGATTAGTCTTGCATCACGGGACTTTTGAATGAAGTGAGGTCTTCCAGATGATATCAAAGATATTTAAACGCACATGTGGGAATCGCAGCGGGGGTAGAGGCTGCAAGGAAGTGACTTCAAGGGCTGGAGTGGCCCAGGGAACATGGCAGGGTCAGGGAAGGCCAATGCCAGACGAGAGGCCCAGTGCTGCCAGGTGAGCAGACATGTCAGTGTGGGGTGTGGCGGGGCCAGCAGAGCCACCGAGGCAGCCAGAAGAGGAATCCAGGGGGAGGGTGTCCCATGGCCGAGGAGACTAGGGAAGGCAAAGGGACGAGGAGGGAGACAGCTGCGATGTCCTGTTGAGATCCAGAGGCATGCAGAGGAGAGCGGATGAGAGGCGGCTTGACCTGACCCGGGAAGGCAGGGAGGAAAGAGGTTAGAAGTGCAAGAGAGACCTGAGACAGGCCGAGGGAAACACGAAGCGAGGATGGAGATGTTATTCAACCACACAGAACGGTTTGAGTGCCCAAGCTTGGAAATTCTGTCTCCACGTTTACTGCTGTTGAGTTTACTTGTACACTCATTGTCACTTGGTCAGGAAACATTTACTGTGCTGGGACCTACAAGGAGATGGCCCTGCCCCTCCAGCACCACTGTCCCCTGGCAGAGGCTGCTGGAATGGTGGCAGCAGCCATGCTGGGTGAGCAGGGCAATGCGAAGCCATGTGCAGGGAGGGCTATGAATAGCTCATGGGCTAAAATTCTCTGGTAAAGGTTAGAGCTGATATCACACAGCAGCTGAGCGGACTTGACTGTGTGGTCAAAGCCAGGACCTTGCACTGGTGAAAGACAGAACTAGAGGCAGTGCTGTGGGTTAAGCTGTGTCCCCTCAAGACTCGTATGTTGAGTCCAGGTCCCCAGCACCTCAGAATGTGACCTTATTTGGCAACAGGGTCACTGCAGATAAAAGTAGTTAAGATGAGGTCACACTGGAGTAGAGTGAGCACCACACCCAATGTGACTGATGTCCTAAAAGGGGGAAACTCAGACACAGGCAGACGTGCCCAAGGGGGCCGCCCCATGAGCATGACCGCAGGGATAGGGCGATGCCTCTACCAGCCAAGGGGCGACACAAATGGCCAGCAAACCACCAGATGCTGAGAGAGGGGCCTGGGCCAGGATCCCCCTCATGACCCTCAGAGGAGCCAGCCCTGCCCGCACCTTGATCTTCCAGCCTCCCAGCCTCCAGGACTATGGGACAGTACGCTGTGGCTGTCTGAGCCACCCAGACTGTGGTACTCTGTTAGGACAGCTGTAGCAACCCATGCAGGTGGCTTCTGAAAACGGCAGAGAGAAATACTTTCCCGTGCAACTCCGGGGTGGGCGGGTTGGAGCAGTGGAGCAGGGCATGCTGTTTGCTGCGGTGGCCTGGGAGGGTAGAGATCAGTACAGATAAGCTTCTCTACCCTTTGTAAATATGCCTACTTATTAAATATTCTAACTAAAACATCAAAAACAGTGCCTTTATGCAGAGTAATGAGGGGTAAACAATTCAAGTCTAACAGGGGCTGAGGGATGGCTGGCAATGATGGCCACACTGACTCTGCCAGGATGTGTCCCCTGGTCCCCCACTTGCTTTCTTCAGCTTGCACAGCCCCTGCAGGGCTCTCCTGGGGCCCCAGCCACCTGGGTACTTTGGGACAGATGGCCCAAGGCTGCTCTGGCTTCTTTTTACCTCTTGTCCTCTTTTAGCAACTAGAGGAAAAATTTGGAGGTCAGGGGAATCAGCTTTCTCTCCCTGTTCTCTTTCCTTTCCTTCTACTCCTCTTCCACACAGTAGAGGGAGAGTGATTAAAACTACAAAGGTTGTTTCCACCTTGTGAGCTGGGCATGTAAAACCCAGTTTTCACCCAGTCCCCTCCCTCCCCTCCTGTGCCCTGAGCTGTTTCTGGCTGGAGTTGTTGGCTGGGGGTAATTTGTTTAAAGTGCTTTGCATTGAGTCCATAATTACCAGGCTAGCTGCCTTAACAGCACTTAGTAACCTTCAACTTCTATAAACTGCTTCGCCAAGATTGTTTGAAGCAGCCTGTATTTCTTATGAAGAGCATAACATTAAAAGGGAAAATTAAACAAGGCTTTTGAACAGATGCAAATGGATTCCACGATGTGGGTGCAGTGGCAGGACACTCACTTGGCCTATTTACAGGTGGACAGTCTGAACCCGCCCAAGTGAGAGGAAACCGGAAGGGCCATTCAAATCCCAGCTCCTCGGACCTCTGCTCACCAGGTGGTGGACCCTTTCCAGAATCAGTGGTTCTCAAGTTCATCTATCCAATAGTTAATAGCACTTGCTGCAAAATGCCACAAAATAGTAATATTCATCAAAAGCCTTCTATATACCTGTATTTTCCCATGGGGATTGAGAAGCAAGCCCTCCTTCTATTTTAGTAACAGGATACTATGTGTATCTCTAACAGGCAAATGTGAGAAACCTTATTCGAATTCAAGTGACAAGTGTCCATGCTTAAAAGTCTCACTAGTACGATTGGTTGGCCCACTATGTTCTGTTTACTAGGCTTTTCACAGAGCAAGTAACACCACCCCTGTGTTATTTCCAAAGTGCGTGTGTTTGTATGGCTGATATTTCAATCACTTCAACAAACATGGTTCAATGACTCATACATACCAGGCACTGCACCAACTCACTGGTTACCTGCATGAGGACAGACATATGACATATTCATCTATAGTCTGCACCATGCAACACGTACCTGGAAGGTATGGGGATGTGAGGTACAAACACTGTCTAGGCCTTAGATATCATAAACACATGCATAAAGTAAAGTAAATGTGAAAATTTAACACAAAAACATAAATTCTATCTCACTGGTATGAAGACTATCATAGAGTGGAGTTTGGAATAATACATTGTAGGGTATCTGCTTCTCTGCAGAGAATATTCCTTATTCATGTCTGAATTCCCAGGAGCTAGTCCAGGATTTGCCACACAGCAGGTGTTCAATATATATTGAATAAACGTATGAATCCACAATCCCCCAAAAGTGACGGGGGTGGACTGACTGCAAGAATGTTCCCAGTTCTGTCCTCCTTATATCCTTACTCT